TGAAAAACAATATTCTCCATGGTCTTCTGTCTCATCTTCTGCTCATGCTAAGTCCATTTTTGAAAAATGACAAAATATAACTCCTAAAACTGCTAAAACTTGATGCCACTTCGTTTTTATTTTTATTTACAGAAGAAGAAGAAGACGTGTCTTCAGAGGTTTTTGTGTCGTTTCTTTCAGTAGTTTTTGGTGCAGCGCCCCCACAGGCGAGCGGGGGAACAGGTTGGTTCAACAGGTTGGCTCGACTGCACAGTGCAGTGTGAATGCAAACGCTCCAGCTCAAATGTAAACAAAACGTCATGAATATTGGTCCCGAACCGAACCGAGTCTACCGGACTATCTGGTGTGAAAACGACCTTAGTTGAGGAGTGGAACTCAGCGCTTTACTAACACTGTGTTCAGTAAAGGTAGGGTGCTATTGACTTCAAACACTGATGTTGTCAGAAGGTAGAAGGAATAATTCTCAATCCTTCTCAATCCCACAGGTGTGTCTTCCATTGAGGAAAATGAGTCAGGGGACTTTGGGGTTGGTCTGAAGACACAAGTCTATTCAGGGGTACTTGAGAAGTGAGTTGATCAAACCTCTGATCCAGGAAAACAATGTGGGTTCTGCCTTGGGTGTGGAAAACTGTACCACTTTTACTCTCATCAGGGTCCTTGAGGGGTCATCTGAGTTTATCTACCTGGTCTACATGTGTTTTGTGGACTTGGAGAAGGCGTTCAACCATGTTCTTTGAGTTACACTGCGACGTGTGCTCCAGGAGTATGGAATTGGTGGTGGGGGGGGGCATTGCTATGGACTGTTCGTTCCCTTTACAAGTGGTGTGAGAGTTTGGTTCACATTGCCGGCAGTAAGCCTGACCCCTTCAGGTTGGGAGTTGAACTCTGCCAGGGCTGCCTGTTGCAACAGATTCTGTTTGTCACTTTGATGGACAGAATTTCTCAGTGCAGCCAGAGGGCAGAGAGAAACCAGTTGATGTGGTCCTGTTGGCGTCTTCGTGCCATGATCTCCAGCTCTCACTGGAACAGTTTCAGAATCAGTTTATTATTGCCATGTCAACGAACGAGGTTCACAAACTAGGAATTTGCTTCGACATAAAGGTGTGATTAGTAATAATGTAAAATAAAGTAAAAATGAAAACATTACATAAAACATGTGTACACCCATAAATAAAGTAAGAATGAAAACATAACATAAAACATGTGTACACCTATACAATAGAAAACAATAAAAAAGCTTAGAAAAAAGTACAGATGGAGTATTCTATTATAATACAGATGTGACCAAAGCAGAAATTATGAGCTGGCATTATGAGTGTTCAGGAGTCCAACAGCAGAGGGGAAGAAACTGTTCTTATGGCGGGAGGTTCTGGTCCGAATGGACCGAAGCCTCCTGCCTGAGGGGAGTGGTTCAAACAGTCCGTGTGCAGGGTGAGCAGGGTCAGCTGTGATCCGACCTGCTCGCCTCACAGTCCTGGAGACGTACAGGTCGTGGAGGGATGGAAGGCTGCAGCCGATCACCTTCTCAGCTGAGCGTACAACGCGCTGCAGTCTGAGTCTGTCCCTGGCAGTGGCCCCGGCATACCACACCGTGATGGAGGAGCTGAGGATGGACTCGATGATGGCCGTGTAGAACTGCACCATCAGCTTGGCCGGCAGCTTGGCCTTCTTCAGCTGTCGCAGGAAGTACAGTCTCTGCTGGGCCTTCTTGATGAGGGAGCTGATGGTCGGCTCCCACTTCAGGTCCTGGGTGATGGTGGTGCAGAGGAATCGATAAGAGTTCGCAGTGGTGATGGAGGTATCATTACAGGTGGGTGGGGGTGGGGGGGCAGAGGGGAAGTGTCTTTCCTGAAATCCACAATCATCTCCACTGTCTTCCGGGCATTGAGTTCCAGGTTGTTGCTGCTGCACCAGGTCACCAGCCGGTCCACCTCCCTCCTGTATGCAGACTCATCACCGTCCGAGATGAGCCCGATGAGGGTGGTGTCATCTGCAAACTTAATAAGTTTCACAGAGTCATGGCTGGAGGTGCAGCAGTTGGTGTACAGGGAGAAAAGCAGGGGGGAAAGCACACAGCCCTGTGGAGATCCTGTGTTTACAGTCCGAGTGTCCGAGACAGCTCTCCCCAGCCGCACGCACTGACTCCGGTCTGTCAGGAAGTCTGTGATCCACCTGCAGGTGGAGTCAGGTACATGGAGCAGGGAGAGCTTGTCTTGGAGCAGAGCAGGGAGGATGGTGTTAAATGCGGAGCTGAAGTCCACGAACAGGATCCTGGCATAGGTTCCTGGGGAGTCCAGGTGCTGCAGGATGAAGTGAAGAGCCAGGTTTATTGCGTCATCTACAGACCTGTTGGCCCTGTAGGCAAACTGCAGGGGGTCCAGGAGGGGGTTGGTGATGGACTTGATGTGAGATGAAACCAAACGTTCAAAGGTTTTCATGACTACAGACGTGAGAGCTACAGGTCTGTAGTCATTTAGTCCTGTGACACGTGGCTTCTTGGGGACAGGGACGATGATGGAGGACTTGAAACAGGCTGGGACGTGGCATGACTCCAGTGAAGAGTTGAAGATCCCTGTGAAGACCGAAGCCAACTCTCCAGCACAATGTCTCAGCGTGGAGGGTGACACAAGATCTGGGCCTGCAGCCTTATGTGTGTTCAGCCTTTTAAAAAGCCTCCTTACTTCATCCTCTTGTACAGAGATAGCAGGGGGTTGACGGGGGCAGTCCCAAGTGGTTAAACCAGTTGGGCTGGGGGTGGTGTGGAGGATGGAGGAATGTGAGTCCATGACTTCAAAGCGTGAATAGAAGTCGTTCAGATCGTTTGTCAGTTTGAGATTGTCTGTAGAATGAGGTGCTCTGGGCTTGTAGTTAGTTATCTCTTTCAGCCCCTCCAGACAGAGGCAGAGTCGTTTGCAGAGAACTGTTGTTGCAGCCGTGCGTTGTACCTGGATTTAGCCTTCGACGCCTCCCTGCTAAATCCATACTTTGCACGTCTGTAGTTGTCTCTGTCCCCCTCTCTGAAAGCAGCCTCCTTCTGCTGACGAAGCTGTCTTAGTTTGGATGTGAACCAGGGTTTATCATTATTGAAAATGACTCTGGAGGGTGATGGGATGATGCTGTCCTCACAGAAATGTATATATGACGTCACAGTGTTTGTGTATTCCTCTAGACTGTCTGTAGAAGCCCTGAACAGGTCCCAGTCTGTGGTGTCCAAACACGTGCGTAGCTCCTCCACAGCTTCACTGGTCCACTTTTTTGGATGTCCTCACCACAGGTTTTGAGAGCTTCAGTCTCTGTCTGTATGCAGGTATGAGGTGAATCATCTCATGATCTGAGAGACCCAGGGCAGCACGAGGCACAGCACGATAAGCACCGCTCACTGTGGTGTAACAGTGATCCAGCGTGTTTCCTTCTCTGGTCGGGCATTTAATAAACTGTTTATATTTAGGTAGTTCATGCCTGAGGTTTGCTTTGTTAAAATCTCCAAGGATAATAATAAGGGAGTCCAGAAAAGTTCGCTCTACACTCGTGATCTGGTCCGCGCGCATGCTCAGCCTCGTGCACGTCTGTGCACGGTGGATGTAAACAGCGGCCAGAATAAATTAAGTAAACTCACGTGGAGAGTAAAACGGTTTGCAGTTTATGAAGAGATATTCCAGAGAAGGGGAGCAGTGCTGGGAGATCACTGTCACGTCGGAGCACCAGGCGTTGTTGATAAAAAAACAGACTCCTCCGACTTTTTTCTTTCCTCCGGAAAGTTCCCGCTGTCTGTCAGCGCGGAGGAGCTGGAAACCCTCCAGATGGAGCGTGGAGTCCGGGGTCTGCTCGTTGAGCCATGTCTCCGTGAAGCACAGCACACAGGAGGAGGAAAAAATCTCTGTTCCTTCTCATCAGCAGCACTATCTCATCCATTTTGTTGTAGAGGGAACGGATGTTGGAGAGGAATATCCCAGGTAAAGGTGTGCGTGTACCGCGCATCCGGAGACGCACGAGCGCTCCGGCTCTTCTGCCCCTCCTGCGAAGTCTTGCGCTTTTGGCCAAAAAGTGCACAAGTTCTGCAGCAGGCACTAAAAAAACTGGAGTAATGTCCTCATAGTTTGAAATTCTGATGTTTAGTAGCTCCTCGCGAGTGTAGGAGCACGCAGACACATGATGAACACACAAAAAAAGAAAAAAACAGAGCGCACCAGAATGCCAGGGCGACCGTACATGGCGCCATCTTGGATCGATCGTTTGGATCATTCACAGCCGAGTGTGAAGCAGCTGGGATGTGGGGATATTGGATCATTTTCCTCAATAAATAAATGACCAAGTATAATATTTTTGTCTCGTTTGTATAACTGGGTTCTCTTTATCTACTTTTAGGACTTTGTAAAAATCTGATGATGTTTTAGGTCATATTTATGCAGAAATATATAAAATGATAAAGGCTTCACAAACTTTAAAAGCACCGCTGTACGTTTCCTTTCTTTGGTCCACCCAGTTTCACATAATAATAATAATAATAATAATAATAATAATAATAATAATAATAATAATAATAATATTATTATTATTATTATTATTATTATTAATGATAATAATGTGTATGTATTGTCATAATTATATGTTCCCATACAATGGCAAAATTGGCTCTCTGCATTTAACCCGTCCACCACCAGGTGGAGCAGTGTGCAACTATGGAAAGTACCTGGGGAGCAACTGGGGATAAGGTGTCCTGCTCAGAGACACCATGAGATGTGCAATGACTGGGGAGGTCTCAAACCACAAAGTGAAAATGTAATGAAACAAAGTAAAGCTACATTCAGGTGGCATAAGAAACATCAGAAAACAGTATTTCTGAGTTGACTCAACTTTTAGCTCAAATATTTATTTTAGTTGTCATTTTACTGACAATGTCCCATAAAGTCCATCATCTGTGGAGAACAGTTAGACATTTCTGTTCATGCTAAAAGTGCATGAAGGACTCAGCAGTCAGAGCTTTAACAGACTGAGTCCCTCTAGTGGATGTTGTGGAGGATTGTGTTGTCTTTGCTCTGCAGGTTTTTGGACAGAGTTTTGATGTTTCCTGTCACTGTGGGCTGCAGAGCACAGTAGTACACAGCAGAGTCTGACACATTAAGATTCTGGATCGTCAGAGGAACTTCAGAATTGTTGATGATTGTTGCATCAAATCTGTCTTTGATGAATCCTGGATCATTAACTCCTCCTGATGTTCCATAACGTGACAGCATGAACTGTGGGAAACTGTTTTCATCTTGTTTGTACCAGAACAAAGTTGGTAAAGTAGAGCTCGTTTCAAAAGAACATCCCAGAGTAATAGTTTGTCCTTCAGCAGCAACAAGGTCTCCTTCAGTCTGGATGACTTTGTCTCCTTTACACTCTGGGGAAGAACAGAAGATGCAGAGGAAGAGATGAATCAATAAGAATCAAGTGTTTGAAGAGGAAACATGTTGAGCTTTCTATCTTACCAAAGAAAAGAGCAGCAAGAATAATCCACAGCCAATGTTCCATGTGTACAACAAGGTTTCAATGAACAGGAGAAACTAGCTGATGTTCAACATTCAGTCTGACAATTGTTCTCTTCTCAGCACCACTTCTTATTGACACAATGCTTGAACACCGTGCAGAAGTAGTGCAGCGCCTACTTGATGATGTCACCCTCTAGTGGAGGGACAAAGTTGACTCCAACAGGCTGGAGAAAAGCCTTCCAGCAGCTCCGCAGTGGGGCTGATGGGTTTTTGTGCAGGATGTGGGTTTCCTGTCTCTGTGGGTCTCACAGCTCAGTAAAGCAGCAGAATCTGTCTCTGCAGCAGGACGTTGTCTTCAGAGAAGCTGCTGAAATTGAAGGAGTGCTAGATCTCGACCAATACACATCTTTATTTCTGGTGTACATTAGTACATGTACTGAAAACGTCTCCACCTTAAAATATGTTAAGAGTTACCTGAACAGTAAACCTTGGTTGGGTGCAGAAGTTCAATCCCTGCTGGAAGCCAGGAACACTTCCTTGAGGTCTGGAAACTCACAAGAGCTGACAAGGACAAGAAAAGAGCTGGTTGCTGGTATTAAGAAGGCCAAGGCCACATATGCACAGAGGATCCAGGGTCAATTCACCTCACAAGACCCTCGGGGCATGTGGAGGGGCATTAAGTGCTTAAAAGATTATAAAAGAAGAAGTCGACAATGTCCCAAAGACCAATCACTGCCTGATGCCCTCAACAAGTTCTATGCAGGCTTTGAAGACCCGAACAGACCACCCAGCACCAGACTCACCTCACCACCGGACGAAGAGCATCTCAGCGTGACCTCAGCAGAAGTAAGGAGTACCTTCAGGAGGATTAATCCTCACAAAGCAACTGGCCCAGACAACATTCCCGAGAAGGTGTTGAAGGAATGTGCTGATCAGCTCTGTGAGGTGCAGGCAGACATCTTTAACACCTCACTTACCCTGGAGACAGTTCCCACCTGCCTGAAGACTGCCACCATCATCCCAGTCCCAAAAAGCTCTACAGTGACTGGTCTGAATGACTATCGGCCAGTAGCCCTCACACCGATAGTCTAAATGCTTCGAAAAACTGGTCATGACTCACATCAAAACAACCATCAACATCAACGAGGACCCTCATCAGTATGCATACCGTGAGAACCGATCAACAGAAGACACCATCTCCTCTGTGGTCCACACTGCACTCAACCACCTGGAGCAGAAGCACTCCAATGTCCGTATGCTCTTTGTGGACTTCATATCTGCCTTCAACACCATGATCCCCCAAACCCTGATGGACAAACTAGTCACACTAGGACTAAGCCCCTCCATTTGCAACTGAGTCCTAGACTTCTTAACAAACAGAACAGTTAGTGAGGATCCACAACTTCTCCTCCTCCACCATAACCCTCAGCACTGGCTACCCTCAAGGATGTGTGTTGAGCCCCCTCCTGTTTACTCTGCTCACCTATGATTGTGCACCCACTGATCCAGGCTGTCACATTGTAAAGTTTGCAGATGATACAGCTGTGGTGGGATGCATCACAAACAATGAGTCCAGCTACAGGCAAGAGGTGGAACACCTGGAGAGCTGATGCAGGAAGAGCAACCTTCACATCAATGTGAAGAAGACAAAGGAGATGATTGTGGACTTTAGAAGAAACAAAAACACCTACACCCCCTGAACATGGTACGGTATAAAGTTTATTCATTTTAAAAAACAAAACAAAACAATTCCATAAACTTAAAAAAAATACAGTGATTTAAAATGAAAGGCAACAGAAAGAATAAAAAATCTTATTATATCTGCCCCTTTTTTCAAACAATTATTTCAATCATAATAATTTTCAAGTAACAGAACAAAATGAATAACTTTCTAATTTTTCTAATTCTAATACAAAACACACACTAAGCTACTTCATATATACTTTTTAACAATTCAGCTTTGATCTTTTTCTTAAATGTGCACATTGACTTGACTTTTTTCACATCACTCTCTAGAACATTCCACAATCCAACTCCTTGGATTGAGGTAGACCTTCCCTTCAGACTAGTTCTGAATTTTGGTTTGACAAATATCTCTATCCCCTTAAGATTGTAACAACTTTGTCTTTTAACAACATTTCTTTGGATATATATATTTAATGGTAATGTGTTATTTTGAGCCCTATACATAACTGATAAAATACTGTAATCTACCAAATCATGGAACTTCAATAAGTTCAGTTGATAAAATAATGTGCTTGATGGGTGACTGTAATGCTTTCTGGTGATAATTCTTACAGCTCTTTTCTGTAAAATAAAAATAGGTTTTGTAAATGTTTTACACGCTTTCCCCCAAACATCAATGCAATAGATTAAATGTGGAACAATGATTGTGTTATACAACATGTACAGAGCTTTATCATTTAATAATTCCCTGACTTTGTATAGTACTGCAATAGATTTAGATATTTTTATTCTTACAGAATTGATGTGATTTTTCCATGTTAGCTGTTCATCAATGATTACACCCAAAAATTTCATCTCATTAACTCTACAAATCTCAACACCCTCAATTTTAAATGGATCATCAACAGTTCTCTTTTTGTTACTAAATATCATGTATTTGGTTTTATCTAAATTTATTGATAATTTATTAAGTTTAAACCAAGTTTGTATTTTATCAAATTCTGTCTTCATCAATTCCAACATCCATTTTACATCTTTACCCAAACAAAAAAATGTGGTGTCATCTGCAAAAAGGACACATTTGAGGAGTCCTGATACATTCACTAAGTCATTCACATAAATAACTTTGGTCCAAGTACAGAGCCTTGAGGAACTCCACAAGTGATATTGCACAGGTCAGATCTTACACCATTTATTTGTACAAACTGTTTCCTATCTTTTAAATAGCTAGATACCCAGTGTAATGCTGGTCCTCTTATACCATATTTATTTAATTTTTCAAGGAGAATAGTGTGATCAATAGTATCGAATGCTTTTTTTAAATCAACAAAAATACTAACACAATACTGTTTTTGATCGACAGCAGTAGTTATTTGTTCCATTATTTCCATGAGAGCCATTGATGTAGAGTTTTTTGCTCTAAACCCATACTGACTGCTACTTAGAATGTTTTGTTTAGTAATAAATTTATCTAATCTGGTCACAAATAGTTTTTCTAGAATTTTTGAGAACTGTGGTAATAAGGATATTGGTCTATAATTATTGAACACACATTTATCACCATTTTTAAAGAGAGGAACTACCTTAGCTACTTTCATATTGTCTGGAAATATTCCTTTTGAAAATGATAAATTACAAATATATGTAAACGGCTCGATAACATAACTCATTATGTCCTTTACAAACATCATATCCATGTCCACCCAGTCTTTTGATCTCTTATCTGTAAGATTCTTTACAACATTCATTATTTCTTCTTTGTCAGTTCCATTAAGAAAAATACTGTTGTCACAACTTATAACTGAATGGTTCACATTATTGTCTACTTTTGGTGTTTTAGCTGCAAGGCTTGATCCAACGTTCACAAAATGATGATTAAATCCATTTACAATTTCATTTTCATCATGGATTTCATCGTCATCCTTCAAAAAATATTGTGAAATACCTGTTTTTGCTTTATGACTTTTCAGAACACTATTTATTACTCGCCATGTAGCTTTCATATCACCATTGCTTTTATTTAATAAATCACTATAATATTCCTTCTTGTGTTTCCTTATAATCGCTACTAATTTATTTTTATACTTCTTATATTTCTTTTCGGCCTCTTGTGTTCTCAATTTCAAGAAACATGTATACAAATAATTCTGTTTTTTACAAGCATTTCTCAACCCTTTCATCATCCATGGTTGGTCAACAACATTTCTCTTTGTACAATTATTTTGCACACAATTCTTTTCATACAGAGCTCCTAAAATATTCATAAACTCATCATATGGTCTGTTCACATCATCAACATACACGTCTTTTCAGTTTTGTTTATGTAAATCATCTTTTAATTTGTCCATTGCTTTTTTTGATGTGTTTATTGTTTTTTCTTAATTGTAATTTCTTTTATAAATCATGAAAACTGGTAAATGATCACTCAAATCACTCATTAAAATACCTCCCATCACATCCCCATTTGTTACATTTGTGAAAATATTATCGATTATTGTAGCACTATGAGTTGTAATTCTTGTTGGTTTTGATATTAACAGATAAAGATTAAAACTATACAATGAATTTGTAAATGTACTGATGTTATTTGAATCTGTTTTATTTCCCAGGTCAATATTAAAGTCTCCACACAAAAAAATGTTTTTATTAAAACTCTTGTCCAATAGTTGTACGATTTTATCAGTGAATATCTCTATATTTGATCCTGGAGATCGATATACACAACTTATTAATATGTTTTTATCCATCCATCCATTTTCTTCTGCTTATCCGGGGTCAGGTCGCGTGGGTAGCAGCCTAAGTAGGGAGGCCCAGACTTCCCTCTCCTCAGCCACTTAGGCCAGCTCTTCCGGGGAATCCCGAGGCGTTCCCAGGCCAGCCGAGAAACATAGTCCCTCCAGCGTGTCCTGGGTCTTCCTCTGGGCCTCCTTCCGGTGGGACATGTCTGGAACACCTCACCAGGGAGGCGTCCAGAAGGCATCCTAAACAGATGC